TTTAAGATTATTGGATGAAAGACAAGGCAGCAGGGCACGGTATTGTTATCCCATTAATTTATTGTAGGAAACTTGAGGTTGTACATGGTGCTTTTCATAACACAGGTGAAGTGAAAACAGAAATACAAAGCCTGTTAACAATTTCTGCTTAAGAAAGCAGGGAATAATCACAACTGTATTATTATCGCTGTCTCCATTTTTCCCCCTGGGTGCTAGTTTTTAAGTTATAGCCAAAACTGAAAAGAGCTCTTTTGGCAAAGGCAAGATTCAGCCCCCACTGTGTGGCGCACAGGCCCTTCCCAGTCAAGTCTATCCATTTCCTAAACTGTATTGGTACTTTACAGGCCCAGTTTGTGATGGACTTAAATGTCAATTATCTCTCTTGTCAGGTTTGCCTTTTAAATAGTGTTGGACTAATAAGTACCCAAAGGTGGGTGCCTTATGGTGGGATTTCAGCAGTTTTAAGATGAGAAGTACAAGTGCTGTTGAGCTCAGTAAGACTTTGGCTCTCAAATCATTTGCACATTTTAAACAATTCTATCCTCTAATCTGAATATAGATTCAGGAGTATTGAACTGCATTTGAAATTCCTGGCTCCAAATCCAAATACAGAGCAAGTTTGTTGCTAGGTGCTCTGTTTTCACAGTGGTTTCATAGTGGAGTGTACAAATGATATATGGCCATACTCTAAGACAAAAAATGTAAGTTTGACATATAAACCGAGTTTTCAGCACTTGATGCTTTTGATCACCCTGTATGTAGTTGGTCGCTTTCTTTTTCCCCGTCAGCAGTTTTTGAAGGGGATCGGTGATGGTCATCTATTTAGGTTCGAGAAGTATTAGAGAGAGTGAACACAGAGGATGCCTCAGTGTTTAAACTGCTTTTATAACATTAGCACTCCAACGATATAAGTAACTATCATTTTATGTGCTAACGTAAAAAGGATGCAGTAATATTTAGAGCTGCTTTAAATTTATAAGTAACAGGACTGAAAAGAATTGCTGTGACTCATTAGTTACTGTGGTGGCTGACTAATACATTTTAAAATTCATGATTTTGGGGTAAGTTAATAAATTTTTATAGTCATTAGTCAATAGCTAACAAGTTGCATTTCAACTGAAAAATGTCTATAGAAACTTTCACTCCAGAAATCTATCAGCCTACTTTCATTTACCCTTCACATTTTTTCCCCTTAATCTCTCTGTAAAACATCACTGTCTGATTTCATTCTATTAGGGTCTCTATATATTTCTATATATTGTTCTATTAGGGACATTTTTCAGTGGTAAATATAACAGCTGTGTTTCCAAAAACATGCATTTGCACCTCTGGATAATTTGTTTGCAAATATTAATGCAGTTTGCAGTATTTATAGACAGCTACACAGATTTCCATCCCAAATTATATTTTTGAAAACACCAATATAATTTTTTATGTTTGCAAACTTTGCACCCACCTCCAAAAGAATTCACTTCATAACGGGGAATAAACAAAGCTGTTCACCTGTTTAATATATATTTTTTGATGTTTCAAGCAAATTTATAGGAATAGCAGGTGGAAGAATCCCAAATGTGTGACTTCAAAGTCAGATGATGAAATCTATATAAGCATCAGATTATTCTTTATACTCTGTCTGCATTTAGAAATATTTTTTTTTCTTGGTGGCACCTGCATGCAGTACCCATAACATTCTCAACATAGTGTTAAGATGTAAAAACAACTTTTTCAACTTTTAACGTTAATTTATCTACTCAGGCAGTTACCCAGATAGTCATACAGTGGGCATGTTTACACATGCACAGTTACTGTGCAGTAACCTAAAAAATATTATGCAGTACAGGCAGTGTCTACATGTGCATGCCCATACCGCACAACAGCTATGGTGACGTACACCAAGTTGGGCATAAATTTGATACCTGCTTGATGCAGGTATCAAATTTACACCCAACTAGTTACTGCACAGTAAGACGTTGTGTAGATGCCCTACTGTGCAGTAACATTGGGTTTGTCTACACCTGCACCCTTAAGGTGACGTAAGACAATTAATGTTGCATTAGTCAGTTTAACACTATGTGAGTTGAGTGGGCCAGAGCCAAGTGCTGAGGCACGTGCTGCTGCAGACACTGGCGCTGTGGTTCTGGCAGCAAGGAACCACCCCGCACAACTTCCTGCAGGGGAAAGGTGCAGCACAGCGTGGACAGGGTTGGGGCTGCATCATCTGTCTGCAACACCCAGTGCTGTTTTCTCTGCCCCATGGAGTGAGCTTCTCTGCTTGGCTCAGCCCAGGCAGGGTTGGGGCTGCATTTGCTCCTAGCTCCCAGTGCTGGTTTCCCTGCAACACCTACCTCCATTCCAGGCATGTGCCAGGCTTCCCTTCCACCAAGACAATGACTGTGGGAGAGGCAGCATGCACTCCTGGAGGCTCTGCGTGGCTCATCCCTGACTCGTGTTGTGCCCAGTGTGACCGTGTGCTGCCTGGCGCACTGGGCTTCAGCCCACTCTCCTCAGATGGGAGGCGGGAAAATGGGGAGAAGGTTAGAGCTGGGCCCGGGGCTGTCCAGGGTGCTGACCAGGGCAGGCTGATGCGGTCACCCAGCAAGCTGCGTTACAGCACCTTAAAGCGTTAATGGCTGCATGTGTAGACACTGGCCTAAAAACCACTTACTGCACAGTAAATGCATGTGTAGACATGCCCAGTGTCCCATAGTAACTGTCTTTGTTACTATTCTTCTGTGATCCCTGAAAAGCTGTAATAGTTCAGTGCTCAGAGTCCATGGAGATGCATCACTTCAACAATATATTACCCACTATTTGTCCTCATCAGGAAATCAGACTCAATGCTGTGCAGTACAGCTCAGACTTTGAAACATGGATCAAGATAGAAGCATACTTACTGCAGAGACTTCTGCTTTAAGTATCCAACAAGTTTAGCTTTACTCATGATTGCCTGCTGGAATACAAATCAAAAGTGGTGAAATATTGTTGATCACTTGCTACCTTCACCCTGTAACAGAGATTCCATGAAGATGGGGAGAATAATTTTCACCAAACCTTTTCACCCCCAGACTCAAGTGGAGGTGGAAAATACCCCAAACTCTTTTTGTTCAAGCCAGTGCTCCACCAGAGAAAATATCCTTCAGAGACTTGAAAATTTCAATATATGATATACATATTGACTTCTGGGCTACTTTAAGCAGAATCCAAACACAGTCTTTTGGTTTTGGAGCATTTTGTCTGTACTGCCATTGTAATTATGAAGGCTACACACAGTATGGGCAGGCTGTTGTATGCAGTAGACAAAGTAAAGTAGCGGACTCTAGGCACCTCTTAAAATCTGTTTGCTCGTAAAGATGTATTTTGTTTGTTTTGTCATCTGTTCTACTGGATGGTATCTAATTTATCCTGAGCTGATATGTGCAGGCTTTGAGAAGTTTGCAAAATTTGCCTTTTCCTATCCCAGAGCAATGTAGCTTATTAAACTGACAAAGGATGACCTGAAGAACATGATGTTAGTTTATATGCCATTGCCAAGGGGAGCTGATAAGATCCCAGCAGTAGAGCAGAACATTTACTACTGTATACAATACTTCATTTTCATTATTCAGTGCATAACAGAAAGCTGGGAAATTACAGCTCTAGCAAAGGAAAAAAATAAAGTACCTCAACTTAAATATTTAAACACAGTGGATTTTAGAAGGCTCATCTCCTGTCCATTTGGAGACAGTGCCTGGCATTTAGAAAGGGTGGCACATAATGGAGACTTGTGAAACAAAGAAAATAAGTGCCATTTTTCATTAAGCACCCACAGTTCTCACTTTGACCCTTCCGTATGCATTTGTCTAGCCACTGAGTCATTGAGCACACAGTATTGTGTAACTTTCATTTCTTCAGAGGCTTGTTATATTAGAAAAATTGTTCCAAAGAAAGCAACAATTATGACATAAGCACATCTGGCTCTTGCAAATTATTCTTTATTAAGCTTTCATTTAATTACATGTGCTGAAAGGTCTGCTTTTGATTACTGTAATTTTTTTTATTTGTCCATCTGAATGATAGTAATGTTGAAAATTACATACAAACCACCTGTTTTTTTTCACTAATAAGGCAAAGTTTATATAGATTTATGCAGGGAAGAGGGATTAGGATCGTCCCTGTTTATGGTAGAAGAATTATTGCTACTGCTAATTCAAGGTGAGGGTTTAAAGTTGGTCATTAGAAGGAAATTAAACTGATTTGTTTTTGTTCTGTAAACACTTTCTAGTGTTAGGAACATCTGACTTGGATGTCCATTTTTATCATGTTTGTATTAAACTTCTGAGTAGTGGAAGAAGTTGTGCATAAGTTTTGAGACTGTGGTTTTTGAAATTTGTGGTTTCATTTTTTTATGTGGAATTTATACCTCTATTTCTCATTAGTGTTAATGGGAGCTTGAGATGTCAATCCCTGTGCACTGTGATGGAGATATACCCAACTGCCTCCTCTGTTCATCACCAGTATCAAGAGAAAACCTGGCGTTGAATTTCAGTAGCAAATTAATCCAGTTTAAATTCCTAGTACAGGTTCTACTGTTGGTGGAGAGCTTCTATGTAGCAATGTAAAGATCTAAAAATTTTCAGTGGGTGCTGCTTTTTTTTCTCTTACAAGCAGCCTTACAAAACTGGTGAGATTATTTAGCATGGGCACACTATCCATTCACTTTCCCTTTACCAGGATGATTGTTGTCAGTGGGAATGCGGGAGGGAAACCTATTTTATTTGCCAATGAAATTAAAAAAAGTTTCTTGCCTGATGTGAGAACTTTGTGATACTGCTTGGCTTTTTTTAAAAGTAATGACCTGGAAAGGCTAAAACAAGAAAGTGCTGGAATCCTCACCCCCACTCCAAATGTCTAATTCTATCAAGGAAAACCGCAGTGAGGCAATAAAGAGTTATGTACTTCTACAACTTCTCTTGCTTAGCAGCATTGTAAGGAATATCTTATATCTTTGTCTTGTCTTGCAGCAACTCTATGCAGCTCAGCTGGCCAGCATGCAGGTTTCTCCTGGAGCCAAGATGCCAACTACTCCACAGCCACCAAACACAACAGGGACACTGTCACCTACTGGGATGAAAAATGAAAAGAGAGGGACCAGCCCTGTAACTCAAGTTAAGGTATTTTTGATGGGGGGGTGGAACTAGATTTAGAAAATGGCAGTATAATTAATGGAGCGTTGTGATCCATGTGTGTATTTTAACTGTAAGAAGTCCAACTACATAAAAAGTTCATTCTCAAATGATATGCTCTTTTTTAGTGGTACATTATCAGCATGGAGAATGGAAGAACTGGTGTTTGCTTCTTGGTTACAAGAATGCCAAGCATTTCCCTTTATTTCTGTAGGCAGCACTAAAAGTTATTGCTAAAATTTAGTATTTTATGGATTTCAGCTTTTAATCTGATGTGCTTAAATATTTTATAACTTGTTTCAACTCATATGCTGTATGTAGAACATGCATTAGAAAGATGGTGCTTGCTTACAGTGTGAGGATGTTGAAGACTGTAGCCCATTGAATTATTTTCCAGTTCCCTTGCTGTACCTTTTCCACAACTTTGGAAAAAGCATCACATAAACATGTAAATCAGGGACTCCAGGAAAAAAAACTGTGTTGCTGCAGATTGATTTGCCTCTTGTTACGTTCTCACAGTTGCTGAAAACTGGGCTTTTCCTTGTTGGTTTTGCACCATTGCTGAATGCTTGTGCTTGCTTATTCTCACTTCCTTGGAATCAGACAGCTACAATGTGGCATTTGGCAGCGGCTCAAAGTGAACAGGATGTACCCCTCCACTTTGTGGTGCAGCTGGTACCTTTGGGTGGTACCAGCTTGTTTTATTGCTGTGTTTTCCTGTGGTTGTTTTGGATTTTTTGAGGCCAAAACAGGTTGGGAAACAACTTGCTTTAAACACAAAGCTCATGGTTTGTGGAAAGTATGGGGATGTGCTCTTGATTGGAACAGATAATGCTGCAAATTTATTAAAATACACCATTTTACACAGGCAAAATGGATTTTTTGCTAATAACATCCTCCCCATCCTTTTGCATCAGCCTGAGAAGATTCTACTCACTTGGGGTGAGATTTTTTTTTTTGACGGGTGAGTAAAATATCACTCGTTTTTTCATTATCATCAATCATTGTGTTAAAGTGCGGGCAAGTAGATATTTCTGCCTGGGCTGATAAATTTTCATGACATTTTTTTGCTAGGTTGAGAGTGCTAATAAATAAAAACTATCCTATTATGGACAGAACCAGCATTTGTTTAGCAAAGCATTCACTTTACTTAACTCTGGATACATATTAGCCTAATATTTTACCTCTCATAATCCAGTGCTGTGCTTCAGAGCAGTCAGTGGAATTTACCACATATGCTGAGTATCTAGGAAGGAGATACAGGCACAACTGGAAGGCAGAGGCAAAATGTTTAAGCAAAGTTGCCATAGTATAGTGGATACCAAACACCAGACATTTACGGTAGTGAGAATATACTATTGACTACTTTAATGTGAAAAAGTAATTTTGTAAGTGAATGAGCCAAATGGATCTACACCAAACCAAACCTTTACTAGATGAGTAAAATTTTCCCTGGTTAAATTTAAGTATATATCTGCTTGAACTGAAGCCAGTAGCATTTCAGCTTTTCTGGCCAGCTGAGTTCTATTACTGACTTGACCACATGCAAA